TCACTTGGAATGCATGTTGTGAATAACTCAGCTACTACCATGCCAAAATTTAACACAACTTTAAAATCAAATAAATTATACCTTTCTTTTTCTGTTCTATGGACAGTTGGCTGTGGCAGCCATCTTGAACTGGATTGGATGAAAAAGGTGCTCAGTAGTTAACGAAGTGCCAATCAGTACTTTATAGTGTATTGAAGTGTATTTAAGTATAAGGGTTATGAGCTATTGTGCCAAGTTAGACATGTCTTTTCCCAGTAAGTCAGTAAATCTGGTGAGGCTCAGATGTCCCAGCTTTTCACCAGCCTTGAACGCAACATTACCTTTGTGAATCTGGAGCAGTAAAGCCCCCAGTATACTCCTGCGCACGTCCGTTCACGCGTACGTACGCGTGTACTGTACGCAGATGGTTCAGACGATACTCGAGCGTACACCCTGAGCAGCTTCACTGACAAGGGGCGTTTACCTTTGGGACAAATTGAGGTCGCCGATTGGTCATTTGCTGACACGCCTACTGGATTGATTGACAGTTCGGAAAAAAAACTAGCGCTGGCAGCCTCGCTGGCAGCCTCGCTGGCAGCCTCGCTGGCAGCGGTGTTCTGTGTTTATATGTTGTTAATAAAAAGATCTAAAAATTAAATAAAAAAAACTGAGCGCTGGCTCTACAGCCCACACATCAGACCAGCCCACCAGGAAATCTCCAGACCCTCCCGCAGCCATGCTGGACCTGAGCTTAATTTGCTCGTGACAAATTTCCTCCATTTCTCACCATCACAGTCATGGCATCAACAGAGGAGGAAGAGATCACTGCCTCCTGGCAAAAAAACCCAAAAGAAAACTCCAGATCAGGGATGAAGAAGGGGAATTTAATACATTGGTGTCGCATACAAAACAGTCCGTCGCTGGGCAGTTTATTTTGCGACACCGCGTACGCGGTCGTAAAATTTGAGCTTTGCACGGACATGCCCTGTGGGGTACGCTCGTACCTCCGCGTTCGTACGTGCGTACCTCTGCGTATGGATGTAGGCGGGGGGAATATACTGGGGGCTTAAGAAAGTCTCTAAAGTCAAAGGCAGCTGTTCCGTGCACGTGTTGACTGATTCTTCCACAGCACGTGATTTGTGCATGTGTATGATATGTGCACATGTATGTGACAGTTTGTATGCACAGAATATTCCTACTTGTCCAAACTGAAATGTGTACATTTGAAACTGCATTTGTAAAACATGGTACACTTGTGGATGTTATTGTGTGCATGCACGTCTCGTACGCTTTTGAGACGGATTTATCTTCATGTAAAACTGTAGGGAAAGGCATTCTTAGGTTGTCAGTTGGCTCTGGCGGCCATCTTGAGTGGGGCAGGCGCTTAACGTTAATTAGTTGAAGATCTATTACTTTCTGCAAATTTAATTAAAATTAATCCACTCACTGGTTCATGAGATAGTTTAATAATGGACAGATTTTAAGGTAGGCACATGCACACGTACTTATTGCGCTGACTTTGCCGTCCGGCGGTAAAAATGCTGGTGTGAGTTGTGAGGACAAACAGGATCACAACTGTAGCAGTAATAAAGTTGCTCCAAAGCCCGTTTAATTCTCTCTAGATCGCCACCGTTGGACTAGTAAAGCTGAATTATTCCTCGTCTCTGCAGGAGGAAGCACAAATGTCACTAAATGTCAAGCACTTGGAGCTTTGGCTTCACTTTCAGGCTTATTAGCTGCTCATATGATCAGCAGGGCCTCGCCCTTTTGGCCAGTAATTTGGTTGGTGTGATCAGCCTGAGCCTTTATAAGCAGGAATCAAAATTAAAAATAAAACAACATGCTATTAGGAGTAGAAAGGGTGTTTTCCTTTTCAATGTGTGTCCAACTCTGCATACACATTCAGTTAAGCATTCCCAGTCAGCAGAACGACGACCTAAAGATAGCAGAGCGAGCCCCGGTGGAAACAGTAATTAGTGGGGTGAAAGAAGAGGAGGGAGGAGGAGAAGGAAGAGTTATTGTTTGAATCATCTGATATCTGTTATATAATGACCTGACCTGTACAGTGGAGACACACGGAGAGAGAAAATGGACTTATGATTTGGAGTGCATGGGTAGTTGTTTATGTGCTGACCCATTGCTGCAAGAACTGCAGGCGGGGCGTTGCTGAAATGAACATGCAGGACGCGTGAAGTCCACTCTTCCTCTGAAAGAGATGGTATTCTTCAACTAGTCTGTGGGCAGGACAAACTAAAAAAAATAATATTTCTACTGAAAATGCAGTGTGCTGAGAATGTTCTGAAGCTGAAACCGTATTGGTAAAGCTAAAAGAAGCAGCAAACACTAGCTAGAAGCTAAAATGAGAAAAAGGCTAGCTTTAAAGCTATTAAAAACAAAACGCTAGCCAAGTGCTAAAAATAACAAAACGCTTCCTACATGTAAAAATAAAATCTTTGCTAACACTTTAAAAGTGGTGAAATACTAGCTCAGTAGTTAAAATATTGTTAAAATTGGCTAAAAACTAAGCTGAAACCAAAAAATATTTAATTGTCAGCTTTTAGGGAAACACCAAAAGACTAAGCTATAGGCCTAAAGTATCAAAATGCAAACGGAGTTATGTAAAGTGCTAGATTAAAGCCAGATGTAGCAAAATGCAATAAATAAATGAAACAACTAGCTTAAAGACAGAAGTGGCAAAATGCTAGTAAAAAGTATGGCAGAATCATGTAGCACTGATTACGATACTAAAGCTAGATGTTATGTAAACTCAGAAGACTAGGAATGACTACTGGAGCTGATGTCAATAATTAATAAAACGACACAGAATGATGGTTTCAGTAACATGTATTTGGAAAAATTTAAAGTAAACACCACAAAAAACAACATGCATAGAATAACCCAGAAAATAAATAGAACTATATATACAATACTGCAACTCTAAATTGTCCCTAGGTGTGAGTGAGAGAGTGAATGGTTGTTTGTCTCATTTGTCTCTATGTGGCCCTGTGATGGACT